CTGCCATGAACCATTACTACTGAATTCTATTAGCTACCATGAAACCACTTTTTTTTTTTTATTTATAGTTCCAATAATCGATTGGGTTCCTATCAATAGATTATTTACATGCTACTAACAATTTTTTTATAATCATATCTATAATATATATAAAAAATAATAATTTGATATATTGCATATATTTTTTTAGACAATTTTATCTTTAAATTTATAAATGATAAAAAATAAATTTAAAAATTAATTATCTTTACAAACACAATACTTGAACTTAATCTAATAAATATTCATGTTTTTTAAATATTATTATTAAATAACATATAGAGGTACATTAATTCTACTAGTATAGATAATGGTATTAAAATTTCTCTTAGCTCTTATAATAAAAATAATATTATAAAACAATTGAGTTTAACAATGCAACCAAACCCATTTAATTCTTCATAAAGCTTATATATATATATATACATAAATATATTAATATTCTATAGTATTACAAAAGAAAATTGTTATTCATTCCGAAACAGAACCGAAAGATCACCCAAAAGTTTTAAAATATTCATACTTTTGAATAAATTTATTATAAAATAATTATTCAATTTAAAATTATGTAATTTAAATTAACTTTTATTTGTTTCCGAATAAATTTTGGACTTTCATCTTCGAGACGTACAATTTTTTATTACAACAATTTCTTACTTCTTAAAAAAAAATAAAGTTATAAAAATAAATTATTTTTATATATTGACGTGGTAAGAGGAAAATAAAAACTGAAAAGAGAAAACATGAAAACAAGCTTCTTAAAAGAATGAAATAAAAGATGATAATTATATATTTGCTAGATTTGTTAAATGTATCCTTTTTATTAGCTTCATATAAGAAAAAAAATTTAACATAGGTTTTAATTTTCAAATTGTATAGTACAATTTCAATTTAATTAAATTGATTGAAAAAATAACTATGAATTGAATGATACATTTATTAATAATTAAATTGATTTACTAATTAGTTGCGTTAATTATTGGTAATTTTTTGGTTTTTAATTTACCATGCCATGTAAATGGACACTTAAAGGCAGAACTTGTAGCCTTAAATGCGTCAGCATGCCAAGTACATGGACAAGTAAAGGCATCACAATCAAGAAACAAATCATTCAACCTATGGCCTCATGTAGCCACACTACAAACGCTGTTATTGATGGTTACTAGTAGCATATACAACAACAGTGTTAGACTTATTTAGAGGCTGTTGATGCTCCGTTTCCATCAACCAACCACCTGGAACATCAACTTTATTATTACATGCAATCGAGTTAATCATGAAGTGTGAACTGTGTAAAATGTTCAAAGTCCAATAACAAAATGTAAACTAAAATTAAATAAATTTTTCAACAGACATATAAATATTATATTATATTATATTATATTATATTATATTATATTATATTATATTATATTATATTATAATAATTATATATATACACACAAATGTCAGCTATACTATCACACTCACAGTTTTTTACTCAAACTCTTTCTTGTTTTATACATAAATTTAGTATTTAAAAACATCATGACAGGAGTTGAAAAGTCTTCTCGCAAGCGTCAAATTAAGAAACCTACAACTCAGTTTCTTCAAACAAAGGCAAGCATGAAGAGAAGCTGCAAGAAAACAAAACTATTGACAGAAGTTATTGAAATTTCCTCAAGGTAAACGTCTTCTAATAAATGGTTTTATTTGGATACATGTATCATATCCAAAAATAATGCATGAATGTATGTGTATGTAAATAGTTGAATCTTAATTTAAATTTATATTTTTATTATTCGTATTTTTATATGTAAAATATGTGTATGACAGTTACCATGAGAGTAACCTCAAATGTCAACAAAATGAAGAAGAGCTATATGAGCTGACTCCCAATAAAAAACATGATCAGGTTGGCAAACAGGATTCACAACAACCAACAATAATGCAAGTATTGAAAGAGGTCTCAAATGTCAAATCCACTATGGAAAACTTAACAGGGGTTGTATGTAATTTGACAAGGGTTGTTGCAAGTAACAACCAAATGTTGAGTCCTTCTCATTGTTCTCAAACACAAAATGGTGTATTATTTATGAACAAATTTTGTACACCAAATCACTCATCAGCAATGGAGAAACATGCAACAGAGACAATTATGAAAGAGTTGGCTTTATCCACAGAAAAATTGACATAAAAAATCGGGTCTACTGAAAATAGAATATGTCAATTTAAGCCAACAATCCAACCAAAGAAATTATTTTCCAGTTATGAACATGGGAACACTTCTAATATAAACATTACCAGCCAATCATTATTGGAAAATGTGAAGGTCGCACAAACGGAATTGATATACCAAGCGTAAGTTCATATGTTAATCTTTCCAAATATTGTGGTTTAATTTTCTGTTATACTATTAATTAAATTTTATATTTTTTAGTGGATGCCAGTTTCATTTAGACCACCTAATGATATGATTCTCAATGAGATGCAGGCTGTTGTTGCGTCTTATATATTTCAAACAAACAAAATAGATGAATTACTTGGGTATGTATTTATTTATTTCATTTTACATACTTGCATTACACATGAATATGTAATCTTTGACCGAACAATGAATAACTTTGTATTCTTTCATTACAGGGAAGAGGTTTTGATAAAATCATCTTGGGGTTATGGAAATAGAAAGACATTATTGTCTCTAATGCCTAAAAATTGTGTTGATTAAGAAGTAAAACAACATTACATAATCATTAATAAAAAAGTATAGCTTAATTTTATTTTTTTTAGCAAATCATTGTATCTTATCAATTATTGGAGGTCCTTAATCTACTTGTTTGCAAGTTGTCTTTTCATCACAAAAAACTATCAAAATATATGTCAACTTGGTTCTTACCAACAAATTTTTCGGTAAACCCAGTTCTAAAATTTAATTCTTTGATTTATTTTATTTTCCATATATATTTAGGTACAACATAACTAATGAACTTTTTTTACTACAACAATATGCTTTGGACCGAGAAACATCAATTGAAACAGTTACTAAATTTTATCAAAAGGACTTCATGGAAAATGTTGATCTTTTGCAAAAGGTAAATGTCTCAACATGGACCCATAATATTTAATATTTATTTTTTGGTGCAATTAATATGTTATATATGTTATGGTAATGTTTTTTTTAATTCATTTGTAACAGATATTTGTTCCTATTAATGATGGACAAAACCATTGGTATCTTCTAGTGGTTGACATGCTTGATAAAACTCTTCATATGTTGGACTCTAAACCAACACCATCAACAACTCAATTAAGAAAGCGGAAAGTAAAAAAATTGGTAATTTATTTATGTATTTTATGTATTTATATAAGTATGATTTGTAATAAACCTTTTATATTTGTCTTATTAACTAATTTTGTTATATGTAGGCTATGTTTTTAGAAGAAATATTGTAGGACCCTTCATTCTATGACGGTCACAATGCTGTCAAGCCTATAATATCTGATTATGATTTGAAAGAACCAGCTGAACTTGGCGAACAAGTACATGGATCGTAATATCATAATCAACCATTTTTAATTTAAATTTTAAATTTCTATATTACAATTATTATAATTTTCATATAATTATTCGAAAACTTGTTACACATTAAAATTATATATTTATTCGTTTTTAGGAATGATTGCAGTGTTTGGGTTGCTGAATGGATGCGTGAGTGCATTTGGAGTGATCGATATGAAAAAATTTCTGTAAGTGTTTATATCAAGCCAAAAATATGACAATTGACTTTTTAATTTGCATAAAATAAAATTAACCACTTGTATTTTGTTATTGACAGGTGAAACCTAAAAATAGGATGCGTTTAGCTATTGATTTAGTTCTTGATGATTACAATGATATCAAGAATAAAGTTGTTCATAGGGCTTTTCAAAATTGGGACGAGGTTCAAGCTAAAAGGAAGAATCTAGTCAAAATTGGATGATTGAAGATTTTTGAGTTTGGATTAAAAAGTTTTCTTTACTAAGCCAGAATTTAGTTTTGTTATCTCAATTTGAACTTTGGTTACTACATGGTTGTTATTCATTTTCTAACTTTTTTGATTTCTTATTTATCATTTACTACATGTTGCTTTACTATGGGAAAATGAATTTTATATTTTACAGTGGGTCAAGGTGAGTAAGCCAACATGGGCCGGACCGACCCGTTTTGATAGCTCTTTTGTTTAAGAATGATTATTATGCCATGTTTACCTTCATGAAAGTGTATTTTCTGAAGAAAAAAAAAATATTACCTATATAATTAATACTAATACTAAGATATAGAGCACTATCATTCAAATAATACAAATAATTAATACAATAAACAAAATTAATACAATCTACACTAAAGCCCAATATGCATCACAAATAGAGTAAATTAATGTACAGTTCAAAATCTTAATAATGAATAAATAACCTCATCTATAACAACATATAAATTCATTTTACATATTCATACCTGGATGAAACACTCCACCAATAATTTGATCTGTAAATATTCCACTAACTACACCATGGTAATAATCAATTTCACCAAATAAGAAATTTTCACGTCCTCCACTAGTAAGAAGTATAATAATTGTTATTTTTTTTGCAATGACCAACATAAAAGCAGGGTCCATCTATTTAAAAAGCTAAATAAAACAATAAGTAATCATGATGTATACCCTTTGCCAATAAAAATCCAAAAAAGTATAAAAGAAAATTAAATAACCTAAGGACATTTCATATACAATATTCAATTGAATAGAACGATTGTTCATATAAGATGAGGATGATATCCATATTACACTTTTTCAACATAACTACTAATTTCAATTTTACAAATACATTACCATAAAAATTGACAATATATACTAAACAAAATATAAGTTTCTTAATAGGTAACTATTACAGTCTAGGCACTTTGTGCCTCTATTAAAACTAAAATAAAATTTAGAAATAAATGTATGTTGCTTTAACAGGTACTTTGTCCTTCACTCCTACCATCTTGAATTTAACACCTGGATTTCATAATAATGTCAATTAATTATTTAAAATAAATTAATAATAAAAGGATATAATAGTCTTACAAATGTGGAGACCAAGGCGGTTTTTAAGAAAAATATTTCTTTTATATAGAGTAAGTATAGAAGAAAAAGAAGATATACATAATATTTTTCTTTCATTTTTCAAATTATAATAAATAGTTGAAACGAAACTTAACTCATAAATGATAAGAACACTAATACACCCACATGAACGATAAAACTATAACCAACAACATCATATGGTATATTCAAAGTATGCATTCTTAAAATTGTTATAAGATGAAAACAAACAATACAACGCCATTAATAAAAGATAAAAAAACCCATAATCAAAATATACCATTAATATAACTTAGAACCTATTAGACAATACATATGCATTAATCATATGTGTTTGGAAAACAGTTCAACACCAATTCAGGGGGCTTTTTCCACTTTCTAATGCAAAAAAACCAAACCAAGTGGTGTGTTGCATTTGGATTACGATGAACGCAACTGCAAATAACCATAAAACTTCATAAAATGAACCAACTTTGCAAAAAAAAAAATCAATATAGAAAATATGATGAAAAATAGCTTCTTCACTTTAGCTTTGTAGCATTCAACCTTCTCATTCAATAACTCTAATTCAACTTGGTTTGTGCCACTAATTCGTGCAAAATTTGTAACTCTGTATTAACCACATCAAGTTCAACCTTCAATTTTTTAATATCATCTTCAATAATACTAGAATTCTCAACATTATCGCTAAACAACCCATTGTTGTTGTCGCTAGAAGAACCAAAACCCTCCATTGAATGTAACCTTGTTGCTTCTAATTGTACTTTTAAATTGTTATTTTCTCTCTTAAGCTTATTGAAGATATTTGCATGAAAATCATTTGTAGGAGGGTCATACCAACTGAAATAATCACAATGTCTTAGAGACGCATTATAGTTACCACAACCATGGAATCTTCTGGCTGGATTATCCTCAAACCACGAGGTTTTCAACCTGCTTCGATCACCACACTTGCATACCAGTGGCAGTGTCAAAATGGGACCATTTGATGAATTATTCATGCTACCACCTGAACATGTAGAGTTGTCCATTAACTATAATTTGTGGCTATACTTTCTATTTCTAATATTCAAAACAAAATTTCATTATACCATTAAATAAATGTAAATGCAAACAACAATAAACTTCAAAAATAAATATGTATACTTAACTAATATTCAGAAGTTCAAAATACAACAAAATTTCAGCTTAAATATAAAACATGGGACACTAATCTAAAGGATACAAAAAAATGACAGGGTACCCATGAACAACATACAATATAAGTTGTGTTACAATTAACCAAAAGTCAAAAATTTTAGAAATTAAATAATCAGGAAAAACATAATCAGAACAAAATATATCAAAATTCAATATGAATGAAATGCATGTTGAAAAATAATCCAATTCTTCTAAAAAATTAAAGATTAAATCACATCAAAGAAGCACAAGCTATACACGCTACCTTTAAATGCATATCACAACCTAAAGCATTAACAAATACTCAACTAATATTGAGAAGTTCCAAATACAACAAAATTTTAGCTTGAATGCAAACATGGAACACTAATTTAAAGGATCAAAAACACATGAAAGGGCAACAAAAGGTAGCATACAATACATTATACAAGTTCTGTTCAAATTAACCAAAATTAATGATTTAAAAAAAAAACATAATCAGAACACAATATATCAACATTCAATATGAACGAAATCGATATTGACAAACATGCATAACTTAAACATGCACATAGTAAAAAATCAGAACCATAAGCATAAGCGATTTCAATTAAAACATGCATAACTATAAAATGCACATAGTCAATAATCGCATCACAAAACAACATTCAAAAATACCCAAATGATTTATCCATTATCAGAACATATCATCTTGCTAAACTCATTCGCATTAATCGAAAAAAATATAATTTAAACATTGCAAACAAAACAATCCACCACAAACCCTAAATAACAAATGAAACAACATTGACACAATGGAAACCAAAACAATCTACCATAAACCCTATATGTGAAAGGAAACGAAATTCAAACAATGGAAAAAATCCACCACAAACCCTAACCCCCAATTAAAAAAATCAAAAAAAAATTAAATACCTGTCAAAAAATTAATATTAAAGACAAAAACGGATTGGTTAAATAAACCCTATATGTGAAAGGAAACGAAATTCAAACAATGGAAAAAATCCACCACAAACCCTAACCCCCAATTAAAAAAATCAAAAAAAAATTAAATACCTGTCAAAAAATTAATATTAAAGACAAAAATGGATTGGTTAATTTCGAATGGAAATACCTAAGATCTGTGGAAATACTGGTGAATGCAAAGCAACCTAGTGAGAAAAAAGAATGGTCGACAGCAACGATGAGAAAAAACGGACAAATCTTCCTTTGCAAGCCAATAAAGGTCGCCACTTGCTAACCCTTCCGACCGAGATACAACAATCACGAAACTCTCGTCACTCATGCGAAGCCTTCCGAGTAAGATGAGACAACCACGAAAGTCTCAAGTATCAATGGCAGAAAAGAAAACTAATGTTACAAATATGAAAGATGATTGTAATAGTTATAGGTTAATAAAGTACTTATGTGCAATAAAAAGTTGAAAAAAAGGGGGACTTAATAGCAAAATTTTTTAATTTCAAATTTAACTTGACCTGGCACAATTAAATTAAATGTATATAAATTATTGGTCCACGTATGCAAGGTACCGAAACCCTTTAAAAAACGAGGGTGCGATAGAATTTGTCAATATATTATTATTTTGATTGTTTATGTATTGTTATGATAGTAAGTGTCATGATTATGTGATATAAAGCATAACCCAATTAACATGTTTTGTATGACACATGATGTAGTTGGACAGCGATCACACAGTTAGTTCACCATGGAATGCTTTTATGCTCCTATTGGTTATTTCTTTTGGTGCTGGAAATGGAATGTTCAACATGCAGTTCGTAAGAGAGGATCTTCATATGGTGCTGGAGATGGCACAAGAGTAGCAAGTGAAATAAATGGCCACAACGGTCAAGAAATTAGCCCATAAAACCTAGACTCTGTGATTTAAACCCCATTAAATCAAATAAATTTTTCAATCAACAAAGTGATGGATTTCATTTTTTGTGTTTATGAGTTTATAAATTGGCAAGTGTATTTTCCTCTCTTGAGAAAAAATACTGTACATTTTTAAATATAAGATTTAGAGTGTATGTTTTTTTTTGGTAATACATAGCTAAAAGGAAAAAAGCGAAAAAAGAGGACACAAAGAAACTAAATTCTCCTAAACAAAACACCTGAACTATCTGCTTGAAGCAGAGATCACAACCCAACAGGGATTTCATCAATGATTACCAACTCGCTTCTACAATTTGGACCCCACATGGAAAGAAAATTTGCACATTGGTTACCTTCGCATAAGGAGTGCACCAGCGACGTCCTCCAATCACGACCCAACAAATCTTTTATCTCCATGACTAACACCGCATACCTGTGAAAAGGCTCCCTTGACCCTAAAACTAGGTTGATAGCATGGAGGGAATCAGACACGCATATCACGTTCCTGAAGTTTCTTTGCAATCATTAATCCCTTATGAATAACTCTTAATTATGCATGAAGATTATCTGTAATTCCCACGTCACCATAGAAACCACATTGCCACCTCCCAGAGTTATCCTTACATAATCCCCCATATCTTGCTGGACCAGGAGAACCCAACGCACTCCGGTCTATGTGAATCACAACCTGGGCCAAACTAGGAAGGATACAAGGTACCCATCTTTCCTCCTGGTGCACGACCAACTGACGAAAAGTCCTCAAGATTAGACCATATAATCCCCAAGTACGTGAAGCAATCACATGCGATGGGATCTTGTTATTTTTAAACAGAAGAGAGTTCCTTGCCAACCAAATCTCCCATAATACCACCAGTCCTAATACCCCATGTACAGTATACCAACCTCTTAACCAACTAGATTTCGCCAAAGTGGCTCTCGTCACCAAAATTGTGATACCCATACTAGCCCAAACAGCCATTGCATTATTGCACTCAAAGAACAAGTGATATAAGTCTTCACGACTAAAGTGGCAGTTAAAACAAAACGTATCAAGGCCCACATGCCTAGCCCATAGCAACTGTTGAGTGGAAATAATGCCATGTGCCAGTTGCCATGCAAAGAACTTCAGCATTTCCGGTGCCTGCAACCTCCAAAGCAAGTCCAAGACTCCCCTGAGGCGTGACCAGGACAAGCCAACAACCATCTATATCCCGATTTTGCAGAATAGACGTCTGATAGTGAGTCATTCCACACCACAACGTCAGGTAAGGAAGCGTGTAAAGATACGTGACTCGAGAGAATCTTATCACTTAAGATAGGCGTTATTGGCGTGTAAAGCTGTTGTAAGCGCCATTGCCCCTGCACAAAGACATCCTTCACCTTCAACACTACATCTTGAAAATGGACATACGGGACAGCTAAGCACAAAGGAGAAGCGTCTAGCCATCTGTCATACCAAAAGGAAACATCACCTTGTCCAAGTTGCAGATGGAAACCTTCCCGAAGAATTCCAAAGGCTTTAGATAAGGAGGACCAGAAAAAAGATCCTTTTGGGTATAATCAAAAGATTTTTTTTCAAAGTTTTTCTAATAAAAATAAAGCATATTTTTTTTAGAGAAATTTTTAAAAATCTTTCTAGATATATATCCATACATACTCTTGTACTCTATGATTCTATGTTGTTAAATAATTTTTTTACAGAATGGAGGTTAAAGTATGAATATCTTCTCAAAATATGAAGAAACTAATTTAAAGAATAATGAAAGGAAGGATGTGTAAATAAGAAAATTATCGATAACAATATTTTTTTTATCTATAAAATTTACAATGACAATACTAAAATTTGAATTTAAAATTATGAATATTTTACTTCAACTCTTCACTATTAAAATTAACAGTGATATAATTTATTGTCTGAAAAATTATCTTTGACAAAAAAATTATATTATAAAAAAGATATAAAAACAAGGAAGAATCACTATTATGAAAATATATATATATTTAACTTGTCAACCTTCTTAATCATCTTCTCAATTTTTTTTAAGTTCTTGTTGGATTGCCTTTATAATTGATAACAACTCCTTTTATAATAAAGTATAAGCAACACAAATCTTTCATCGTTAATGGTTTCTATGAACTAAACCACAAATTAATTAATGTTCTATATTTAGTTAGCCAATAATAACAACATTATTATCTCTAAGTAATATGTAACAAATATCTACCTTGCTTGAATTCCTCAACTCATTTTGGCTTTCACATTCTAATAGTATTCTTCCACCTGCTTCGATGTCAATCAGAACTTCCAATGACAACTAATGCTAAATATGTTTTTCTTATTTAAGTTTATTTTAATTTGTATAACAAATTATTATATAATTTTTAAATTACGTACAAAGTTATAAAATTGAATTAATATCTCTATCATGTCAACATAAAAAATACAATATTATAAAAAAATAATGATAAAGACTAAAAAGATTAAAAAATTGCAAATATAAAAACTAAAAAAATTTATCTTAAATTATAAGGAACTAAAAATGATTGAAAAATATAAGTATTATAACGACCCGCCAGGTCATTTACACTTAACGAATCATAATCGTAACTAGCAACGAAAATAAAATAAAACTAAGCTACCTAGAAATTCATATACTTACATGACCTTAATATACAAGTCATAATATATACACAATAAAATTTTATCCAACACTAAAGCAGATAACAAGTGTATGTGTGTGTATATACAATTAGCTTGGCCACGATATAGAAAGTAAAACCTAGTTGTTGGTCAAACAATACACTACACTAATTTCACAAGTATATAACTCCAAAAGATCTACATTGCCATCATCCAACATAGCCTCAAAACAAGTTTCATCAGTAACATATCCCTGGTTTTCTCTCATACCAAATATGATTGTAGACACCCAATTTTATCCGGAGAAACGCCCTCAAATTTGGCAATACCCATCAAATCAAACGGATGAGGTACGAAGGGCTTATCTAAAATGGGGTCCATATCAAATGCATTTAGAAAATTATCCTTTATCTGGTAAAGAAGATCATCTAAGGAGATTTCAATACACTTGGTTTAACATATTTCCTTCATGGTTTGAGTATTTGCCTTCAAAAGATGCTGCATATTGCTTGCCTTGCTATCTTTTTAGTAAAAAACCAAGCGGACGCCTTGGTTCAGATGTTTTCATTGCTACAGGTGATTGAATTTGAATTCTAATTGGTAATGAGTTGATTATCATCAACAATTTTTAACTTTGTGGATTATTTTTTCTATAGGTTTTAAAAGTTGGAGGAAAGTTAATAATGGAAAGAATTGTGCTTTTCTTAAACACATTGGGAAGGATCCTTGCTCACCACACAATAATGCAATGAGAGTTTTTCAAGACTTGTTGAATCAAAATTGTCATATTAGGAATGTTTTTCATGTGCAAAGCTTAGATCAAATTATGAAGAATCGTTTGCGTCTAATTGGATTCTATGACACTTAAAAAATTTTCAGAGTTCTAAGGATCTCTATTTCAACTTAATCTTTTCTAATATGAATTCTCAAAGAAGTTCCTTAAAGGGCTTGCCAATGGAAATGAGTCATGTATGCTTTCTTGATTAATCTTGATTAAGTTCAATGTAAAAGATAAGAGTGAGAGAGAAGAATGCACAAGTATTTTATCCTGGTTTAGCCACTCCACATGTGACCTATATCCAGTCCTCAATCATAACTTGACCAAGATTTGTTCCACTATCTCAATGAAGAAGTTTTACAAGCATACCACACATACATATACTCCTACAATCAAGATAACCACTTTCTTGCCCCTAAGAAAACACTTCTTGTAGAAACTCACTACAAGAATTCCTTACCACTTGAGACATCTACTCAAGATTTCCCTTACACTTTACATAAGGAATTAAAGGAACGAATTCACCTAGAAGCTGAACAAATCATACTGTGAATTCCAAAAGCAAATCTTAATCTTTCTCTCCCAAGAATGTAGTAATGATGATGATCTCTTTTAAAACATTTCACAAAATGTTTTTCTTCTTGGTTTCACAAAGAAAACACTCCAAGAAGGTCACAAAGACTTCACAATATATTTTTTCTCTCGTTGACTCTCAATTCATTCTTTCTCTCGTTGACTCTCAATTCATTCTCTGTTTTGAAGTTTCAAAGTGTGAAAGCTATTTATAAAAATTTCAAAACCAGATAATCGATTATTTTGGTTGAAGTAAACTAGTAGTTTGTTCATGTGCTTATTAAGAATTTTAGAAAATTGAATTTGCTCAAAGTTTTGCATAGCTAGCTTGAGGAATATATAGTGTTGTATTTAATTATAGTAGTATATTGGTATGAGTTTTTGTATGTTTTGCATTGTGATAATTGTGAAGATAATTTTTTCCTTTTTTATATAGGTGAAAGGTGATAAATATATATTAGAAAAATTA